CTGCTGGGATGCCCGCTCTGGTTCGCCCAGTCGCCCACAGGGGCCTGGCTGCGTCTGAGGCCCTAACCCTCCCCTCACCATGAGGCTACAGGGTGGGAAGCGAAGCCAAAGTCCTGAAGGAGGGTCTGACCACCGCAGCGAGCACGGTCCTGGTTGTCAGGCCTCCTCCGGTCCGCAGAGGCTGTAGCCTTAGGGGCAGACACGCGGGCCGCAGCGCTGGGGCTGGGACACATGTATCCCCGTGCTGCTGAGCCCCAGGCCGGGATCTGGCAGATGAGTGACGCTCCGAGTTAAGTAACTAGAGAGTTCCGGCACGTGGTGTGAAGCCAGCTGGGCCCCGCCGCTGGCGGTGGCGTGGTGCAGACTCCCACACCTCTGCAAGCCTGGCCAGCACGGCAGGCGGTGCAGGCTCAGCAATCCCGGTCTCAGAGGCCGCTCCTGGCCGGCTCCGCCACCGTTCCCTCTGTCAACGCCCCAGTCGGACGTGAGGAGAGGCGCAGTATCCTCCTCCCTTATGCCTCTTCCCAGGGGTCATCGGGGTCTGCACTCTGCACTCCAGCCCTCACCAGGCCCTTCCTCCAGCCCCAGGCCTACCATGTCCTCTACAATCTACTACGCCCCTGACGTGACTAAGAACAGGCACAGGGAAGGTCACAGGCAGGCGACACCTGACACCTCAGCACCCTGGGCCCTGCCCAGGTCTTTACCGATTCTTTCATTCACTCCTCACAGCCGTGCTGCGGGCCAGGGCTGTCCCCCAGTCTTGTGTGGAGGCTGAGTGACTTGACCAGGTCACCCAGGAGGGCACAGCAGAGCGAGACTCGGGGCTCGGCCGTGTGCTAACGGGCACCACTCCTTGTGCTCAGCTGGCGAGGCCCGCGCCACCAGCAAAGAGCCGCCTGAGGTCAGGCTCACAGCAGCAGCGGCACGCCGCTCACAGGGCTGCCCTCCGACTTTGTGGGGCCTCCAGTGCCATGGCCTGGCCGGGAAAGCCGGAAGGCTCAAGTGTCCCCAGAGCCCGTGCGGGAAGAGAAAACCAGCTCCTGCGAACTGTCTGACTACACACAAACACAGGGGCTTGTCCACACTCTCTCTCTCTCTCTCTCTCTCACACACACACACACACACACACACACACACACACACACGCGCACACGCAGGCTGCAGACACCCAGGACGCCTGAAGCCGGGGTGGGTACGCGACCACCAGCCGTGCCCCTCCCCCCTGCCCAGGCTGCAGGGATTCAGGCCTTACCACAGGTTTGGGGCAAAGCTTTCAAGCCAGCTGGCAGCCTTGGGGCCGTGCCTTGGGGCTTGTCTGCAGGCTGGGGGGGAAGCAGTCAGGACTCGGGGCCCCCACCCTGCCTCCCCCACAGAAGCTCTACTTTCCTGTGAGTTTCTGAAGAGGCTCTCACTGAGGAAAAGTTCCGCTGTTCAAATAACTGTTCAAATAACAGAGACTCAACGCCCTGAGGGACAAACGTCCTTGTAACAGAGTACCCTGCTTATGTCTGTCTGGATGACTTTCAGGGGTTCCAAAGAAGTAAACCCTGGCTTGGGAGAGACAGAAGGGTGAGCCCGGCCCCATGTCAAGGCCGCTCCACTGCAGTGCCCTGCTCTGCACACCAGCTGGGTGTCGGACCAGGCGTCTGTTTGGCGGTCTTGCCTCTATCAGTTTTTGGCCTGGTTTTCTCTGGAATAAATGACAAAGTCTCTAGAGGTCAGGAGTGTGGCTCTGTTGGTGGTTTGTCTAGCAAGTGCAAAGCCCTGGGCTCAGGCCCCAGCACCCCCCAGAGGCACGGTGGGAAACATCTGGGAGACGGGGGGGGGGGGGGGGGGCGGGACAGTCAGAGTCAGTTACAAACTGAGCTTGAGGGCAGCCTGAAGCTGGGCACAGTGGCGACCACGTTAGTCCCAGCACTCAGGAGGCAGAGGCAGGCGAATCTCTGAGTTCAAGGCCAGCCTGGTCTACAGAGTGATTTCCAGGACAGCCGGGGCTACACAGAGAAACCCTATTTGAAAAAGAAGGAAAGGAAAACAGAAGCGACTTGAGCTACTGCACACACAGCCAGCCACACACGTGTGCCATATACATGCAGAAACACGCATCCACATGCACACACATGAAAACTCCACAGGCCCTGTGTCTGAGAAGAGGCACATGAAGACGTGGCCGGTGTTGCCGGAGACCCTGGCCACAGACCTGCCAGGTGTCACCCTGTCTCAGGGAGGGACGAGGGGTTCAGGGTAGAGAACAGGTCCACCCAAGGGCTCCAGGCGGCTGGCGGATCCAGACTAGTCTCCCCGCTGTGCGCCGGCCTCCGGCCTCCCACTGCCCGCTCCTCCCCCCCTCCCCGTCATCAGAGCACCTCCCACGCACAGGTGGGCCCAGCGCCTCACCCAGAGTGCCCGGCTCTCAGGCCACCTCTGCGCACCTTCCCTTTGATCCCGTTACCCCCTCGACCCTGACTTCGCCATCATGCCTTTCCCTCCTTTTTGGGTGGGCGGGGGTGGGGGCGGGAGGCTGGTTTTCCGAGGCATGGTCTCGTTGTGTAGTCCTGGCTGGTCTGGAATTCACCATGAGATTGGCCTTGGCAATCCTCCTGCCTCCGCTCTGTCTGTTGTGACTACAGGTGTGTGTGTGTGTGTGTGTGTGTGTGTGTGTGTGTATGAAGGGGGGTTGCCCTGCAGCTCAGGTTGTCCCTAACCCTGTGATCCTCCCCCTCAGCCTTCAATGTGCTCAGACCACAGGTGCGCGCCACACCTGACTCATGAGCCCAGCTGGCCACGTCTCTCCTGGAAGTTAGGGTGCCGCGTCACGGTTTGGGGTCTGCTCTGGGCCTCTCTGAGCTTGCTCCATCAGAATCCACACAGCCCCGGGCTGTGGCCATTTGCTTCGTGGACCCTAACAAGACACTATGCTCTTGGGCGCATGGTCCCGCTCGCTGAGCCCAGCACGGGGCGAGACACAGAGCAGGCGCTCACAGACGCCTCTGGACAGCTCCTAGTTTTGTTTTGCTTGTTTTCTCCCCCATTTAGTTGGTTTTGCAACAGGGTCTCAGGCGACATCACCCAGGCTGGCCTTAAACTTACAATGTAACGAAGGCTGACCTTGAATCCACGGCTCAAGTGCTAGGATTACAGACATGCCATCCTGCCAGCCTATGGGGGCTGCACCCAGGGCCTCGAGCATGCTAGGCAGGCGCTCTGCCAACTGAGCTGCACATCCCTGGGCCCCAACAGACAATCCTAGGTGCCCGAAGCGTGCCAGGCCTCCCCGGCGGTGCTGGACACACAGCAGCCCTTGCTCTTGGCCTTATTCCTAAAGAGGCCTCAGGCTTTTGCCTGATTCCTGTCGCTGTCATGTGCTTTTCCGGCCTGCCCGCCGTCAGCCCTGCGCCTCCCTCGCCCCCCGCCCCCGCTGCCTTCCCCCCTCCTCTCCCAGCCCTGGCGGCCGTACCCGGTTGATGAGCTCGCCGACCATGCCGGTCCAGGAGCCGTTGGGCTCGGGCGCTCCATACAGCCCGTCCTCCACCAGGCGCAGGCGGTAGCGGAAGCGCAGCAGCTCGGCCAGCTCCCGGAGCATGTCCACGCAGAAGCCCTCAAAGCGCTCGTTCCCCGACAGGGCCTGGAAGTTGGGCCGCCGCATGACGTATGGGTTCTCCTGCGTGAACCAGAGAGCTGGGGTCAGGATGGAGAGCTGGGGTCCGAGCCGGGATCCCAGGGCCCACGTGCACCACTGGAGAGGAGTGCCCGGGGTAGGCCGGATGAGACCTCCTGCGTGCTCACTTGTGTGTGCGTGTGTCGAGTGTACATGCTCGTGGGAGCCAGGGGCCAACTCGGTGTCATTCCTCAGGAACCAGCCACCTTGGCTTTATGTTGTGTCTACGGCGTTTTCCTGCCGCCATCGAGGGCAAGGAGGTGGTACTGGATTCCCTGCACTTGAGTTGCGGACGGTTGTGAGCCCCCACGTGGGTGCTGAGAACTGAACCCCTGTCCCCTGAAGAGCAGCCGGTGCTCTTATATCTCTCTGGGACCCCCCTGCAGTGTCTCTCCCCTGGGATGGGGAGAGTAGGCCAGGCTGTCTGCCTGACTCTGCCTCCCGAGCGTTAGTATTACAAGCCAGAGTGAGCTGTCTCCACAGCCCTGCTACTTATTCATTCATTTCAGGGTTTTTCAAAAACTTTTCAAGGCTTCTCTGTGTAGCCTTGGCTGTCCTGGACTGGCTTTGTGGACCAGGCCGGCCTCGAATTGACAGAGATCCGCCTGCCTCTGCCTCCCTAGTGCTGGGATCACAGCCCACCACACCTGGCAGCCTGCTATCTTCTGAGACTGGGTCTCTAGTCACTCAGGCCATATCAGAACTCAATGTACGGACAAGACTGGCCTTGAACTCCTGCTCTCCCGCCTCTGCTACCCTGGAGCTCAAGTTACAGGTGTGTGTTATCACGCCTAGCTAACACAATCCACTTTTCTTCCTTTAGAAATGCTGTGAGGCCGAGCTGTGGACCTGTACGCCTTTAGTTCCAGCGCAAGGGAGGCGGAGGCAGGCAGATCTGTGAGTCTGGGGCCAGCCTGGGCTGCAGAGGGCGTTCCAGAAACTGCCAAGGATACACAGAGAAACGGTCTCAAAACAAACAAAGAAAACAAAAGGAATGGCGTGAGCGGAAAACAGGCCTGAGCGCTGAGGGGTATGGGTGAGTGTGTGCTCTGCTGGCCTCTGCTCAGACTGTTACAGGGAGACACCCGAATCTCCACAGCCAACCCAAAGTTCACGGAGGATCAAGGGGGGGCTTTGGGGGGCATCCAGCCGGGGCTTGCATCAAACCAGAGTGAAGGTCTCAGGATTCTCCCAGGGCACACCCTACCAAAGTATCGCTATGACACGCACAAGCACGCTGGACCAGATCGTCCCGCCAAACAGCCCCTGCTCTCTGGCTGTAGGCGCACACGCGGCTAGTTTCAATTTAGAGATCTTCATTTTTCCACACAGTGGCAGCGACTCAGTGAAGCAGCGCTGTGAGCCACCAGTGCACCTCCAGAGAGCATCCCTCACCAGGACTTCACTCCAGCCGAGCCGCCGAGGCAGGCCTGACAAGCCAGATGGCGAGAAACTGCCAGAGAATTTGGAAGCCTAGATTGTTTTGTAAAATCTCCTGATTATGAACGTTAGCAACTCATTCACATTCTAATACTTTTTTTAGGCCACACAGGACACCTGCCAGATCTCAGTGCCTGGCCTTTTGCTGTGTGGATGGTCTTTTGCTGGTGTTCTTTTGAGATTTTAAAATTTTATGCCTATGGGTGTTAGGCCTGCATGTCTGTGGGTGTACCCCAAACGTGCCTGGTGCCCAAAGAGGCCAGAGGGGGGCACTGGGTCCCCGGAACCGGAGTGAGGGGCGGTTGTGAGGACACCGTGTGGGTGCAGGCAAGCAAACTTGGGTCCCTGCAAGAGCCAGCAGCCGGGGCTCCAGCGGCCCGTGCTCTGCTTCTGCTTTTGCTTTTTGAGTCCTCTCACTTGCCTCACATCATCTGGCTCTAAATACTCACAGAAGTCAGTACTGAAAGGAGTATTTTTATACTTTTTTCTCTGCAAAGCTAGGGATTGAATCGTGGGCCCAGGCATGGTAGGCAAACACATTACCACTGAGCCACCCCCCAGCCCCTCACTGGGGGATTCTAGGCAGGGGCCCCACCACTGAGCCACCCCCCAGCCCCTCACTGGGGCATTCTAGGCAGGGGCTCTACCTCTGAGCCACACCCCAGCCCCTCACTGGGGCATTCTAGGCAGGGACTCTACCTCTGAGCCACACCCCAGCCCCTCACTGGGGGACTCTAAGCAGGGGCTCCACCACTGAGCCACACCCCAGCCCCTCACTGGGGACTCTAGGCAGGGGCTCTACTGCTGAGCTACAGCCAGCCCTCTTTTTGCATCTTGAAATAGGGTGTCACTAACTTGGCCAGGCTGACTGTGGGGTCACACTGCAGACCAGAGGAGACCTGAACTTGGGATTCTCCAGCCTCTGTCTCCCAAATAGCTGGGACGGAAGGCCTGAGCTTGTTTTTAACGCACACCCCTGGAGTTCAGAGAGGCAAGTGGCAGATGAGGCTATCCCAGCTACCCCATGCCTCTTCATCAGCAGGCGGCAGCCACCTCCCACTTCCTGGCAGCCTTTTGAGACAGGCCCTGACAGGGCGTAGAAATCAGGCTGACCTCCAGAGCCTCAGCCTGCAGGGCAGTTCTGAGACCACCATGCAGGCCAGCCCAGGCCAGCCCATAGGGCAGGTGGCCGAGATTGGAAGCCCAGCAGGGGTAGCCGTGGAAATTCTGGGCTTCCATGTCCTCCTGGCCTCTGAGTGACAAGTTGAGAACTACCAAGCAGCCTCAGAATCAGGAGAAGAAAGTTCTAAGTTTCTGAGTTACGGGGCTGAATTTAAAAAGCCACAGATCCCAGGAGACCAGGTTACCTCACAGGCCCTTGCGCTCCCAGACCACAGAAAAAGCTAAGGGACAACGGGACAGAGGGGGCTGGGGCTTCGCTCCCGCCCAAGCTGCTTCTCCAAATCCAACGTTGCGGAAGCAAGGATGGGAGTGTGAGATGATCCTAATAATAGCTGACGGCGGCGGCCGCCAGCGTTTCCCGTGGGCTTGCGGTGACAGCCGTGTCAGCGTGGGAGGCACTGTTACCTCTTCCAGCTGAGGACACGGAGGGCTGGAGAGCAAAGTCCTGAGTCGCTGGAACTCCAGGCCCCTAAGCTCTCCGCTTAAGCCCTGTGCCAGACTGCTCGCCAGTGGGCAGGGTTGGGGAGTGGACGTGGGAGAAGCCAGGCAGACCAGGAGCTGGAGAGCTGGAGCCAGAGCCTGTGCTGGGGCTGTGGGAGCACAGGGTAGGGGTGAGGCATCCAGCCCAGGGCCAGCGGACAGAGCAGCGGGAAGGACGGCTCAGAGGCCACGTAAGGGCCACGCACCCCACAGTCTGATCATGCCGGAGTGCCAAGCTGCCCTCTGAGGGCCTGGGCTTGAGGCCCGTCTGTAGCAGCCTGACCTTACAGGCATGACAGAAGGGCCTAGCACAGAACTTGGGTTGACAGTCAGGACACAGGACTGCAATTTACAGCCCTGGGCTCTCAAGTAAAGGGCCAAGGGTCCCCGCCTCCACCCCGCCTCTGGTTTTTTTTTTTTTTTTTTTTTTTTTGTCATATTAAGGATTGAGCCTCAGTGTTCTTCACTATTCATTCATTAGTCTGTTTGAGACAGGGTCTCACTAAATAGCCTAGGCTGGCCTCGAACCACTGATCTTCCTAGCGGTTTTGGTCAAGGTTTTGAGACTTCTTTGAAGACCCTCTTTGCGAACCCAGTGCTGAGGACAGCGGACGGTGCCTGAGCCTAGCTCTAAGACACCGTGTCCTGACCGGCTGAGCATCTGTGAACAGAAACTCGGGTCCCAGAACAGTCACCGCGCCAGGGCTTGGGGTGGGAACAAAGACCTGATCTGGAACACATCAAAGAGATCATCAGTGTCACAAAAGGACCCCAGACAGCCACTGAAATAGCAAGATCTGTGAGGTGTTCACGGGACCCGCCGCTCCAGAGCACCCTGTGCAGTTCGAGCAAGAGCGGGAAGTGCCTGCACAGACGCCTTGGGGCGGCCAGCCTCTGAGGGAGCGACCCAGGGTCCAGGACGGAGGGAGGCCAATTCTCTGAGGAAGGCTCTCCGTGTGCAGCAGGCTGGCCCCACACTCCCGGAGCCCCACCTGTCTCTGCCCCATGCTGAGATTACGGGCGTGTGCCAGGCCCGCTGTCCATATTGGCTCTTTATGGAAACCCCTTTCCCCCAGGTTTGCCTTATCCTCCGTCCCCTAACCAATGCCACCAATTTTGTGTTTAAGGTAAGAGCTTCACTGTGTGTGTGCTTGCATGGACGTGTGTGTGTGTGTGTGTATGTGTGTGTGTGTGTGTGTGTGTGTGTGTGTGTGTAGGGGTTGTAGGGGTTGAAAGGCCTGTGGCCAGTCTAGCAAAGCAGCAACCTCCAGACTCCAGTGTGAGAGAGAAACGGGTAGGAAAGGGAGGGAGGGAGAGGGCGAGATCTCTGAAAACAAGATGGTGGCTGGCTTAGCGGACTGAAACAGCGGCCACCCGGTGGGAGGAGACCCACTCCCACAGGCTCTCCTCTGACTGCTATGGCGCTCCGGAACCCTTGTGAGCAGACACACACCCAAGACACACCCCAAATGAAACGAAAATAAGACAGTGGGGCTGGCAGGGTGCCTAGAGGGGGAGACACACCTTTAATCCTGCACTCAGGAGGCAGAGGCAGAGGCCGATCTCTGAGTTCAAGGCCAGCCTGGTCCACAGAGCTTAGAGTTCTAAGACAGCCAGGGCTACACAGAGAAACCTTGTCTGGCAAAACAACAACACAAAAAGCCAGATCTGTTGGGTGGACTCTGGTATCTCCTACAACAGGGGTGGGTGGGTCAGAGACAGCTGACCAGAAGGGCACACGCCAACCTTCCTGAGTACCCCACAGCGACGGAAACAGGAGAGGCCGCGCCTCAAAACAAGGTGGGAGGGGAGACCCAATTCTCAAAAAGTCAGCCTCTGAGGCCACACATGGAAACTTCAAAGGAACAATGAAGCTGGGGCCAGTGAGCGGGCTCAGTGGG